GAAATTTCACCCAGTTTTGCTTCATTTACTGCTTCCAATCTTAGTGCAGTCATGAAGAATTTACTTCAGAGGAAAAATTCTGTTCTTTCTAGGTTTCTAGACTTCTAGTTGTATGTCACGCTTATCAAGTAATACCACGGAGGAAACGATATTAGCAATTACAGTAAGCATTAGTATAGTTCTAGAAGACTTTTTAACCATCCCGTCAGCTTAGGAAGAACAATTAAAATGCAGCTGTTTGGGTTACAATTTCGAAACTATCAAACTCCTCACCGAACCGAACATTCTAAGCTTAGTATCTGCTAATTTGAGGAAACTGTGATGTGAATTGCAAAGAGAACAAAAAAGTTAGCTGCATATCTCTTTAGGGTTTCTGCCTAGGTCGTTTACTGCTTTTCTCTTCTTTATTTCACCAACTAGTCTCTTGATGTAGGCAACATAACCTTCAACATCAAATTTCCTTTTGCATCCAGCATAGTTCATGTAGCGTATTTTCCCAAAAATTAGTCGCTCTTGCCATCCCTGAAATACAATAGAAGGTAAATGATCTGAAACGTAAAATGTTTTTATAATTGACGGGATTGTGAAAAGGAATGAAGTGGAGAAATCTAGGAGCCAAATTGAATATTGGTCCATGAAAAACATGAAGCGGAAGTATAATTCTTGAATCAAACAGGAAAAGTAATAGAAAGAAATAACATGCAATAAAGAGAAACCTGATCATGAACTCCACAGATTGACCACATGCAACCAACATAACCATTTGGGTCCCTCCCATCTATTTCATACTGCAACAAAGAGTTTCAGGTTAAGGTTAAGGAACTAGTTGTAGGACTTGGATAGCAACACCATGAGCTAGTGTTGGTTATATTACCTTGTCATTTAGATATATGGATATTGCAAGGGCTTCATCAGGTCCCTTTGTCCACTCGAGAATCTTCTTTGCCCAGTACATACTGCACAGACAACCTCATTTCACAAGGAGTTTAAAAGCCAAAAACATTAAAAAAAAACAAAAAAAAAACTATTGATGTGCTCATAGACCACGCCATAACATTTGAGATACTGCAATTTGACTTCTGGAAAGAGTTTGAATTTTCTCACATTAGCTTGCGTCATGATTTTGAAATTGTTCAAGTGCCTAAACTTATGATGTCTTTTTTGACTATATGATGCCTACGTCTTGATGTTGATTTAATAGGTGGGGAACTATGTGAAAAATAGGATTATCAGCATTTCACTAAATTCATGGAGAAGTAGCTTACCGCATGAAACCATGCATCTTCCCAAAGTGAACCATCTCCAACTGTGAAGCATTCCAAAGCTGAGAGCATAATATAACAGTTAGAATATTATCATCACCATGACACCAGAAAACCACGATGATATATGAATAAGAGAGGATTTGATCTTCAAAAGGCCAAATGAAATCTCAGCAATGCAATATTATATTATTTGGATAGTCACTAAATATCAGCTTACAGGGTCATGTGTTTGTGCCTTCTCCAATTGCTCCTTCCTGCAATTCAATAGTTAATTTGAGATTTCAATCATCAAAATAGAGATGATATTCCTTCACTGCTCTATGTACAGAAAATCATCACAAAGCTATACCCACTCACGAGTAAATAAGTTCTCGCTTGTCAGAGGCGTGATCCGTCAAGGTCTTACGTGCCCATTCCCATGCCCCTTTTAGTGAATCATAATGAAGCTGATAGAAGCAGAAGTTATCAGCAAGTTCTCTACGCACAATCAACTCTTCCAAAAACGCATCAACCGCCTTCAGAGAAGAATGTACATACAGAATATTAGACTTTTCAACAGATCAAAGGAGCCACTAGCAAAAGCAAGGCACAGGAAAAAAAAAAAGTTAAATTGTGAAATTGAAGTCTTGATGACAGAAACCTGGGGATGAACATTTCGAATTTTACGTGCCTCCAAGGCACATCTTTGTGCAGATATCTGCCCAAAATGCAGATATGGAGACAGACAAGACAGAGCCCTTGGCTTTAAAGGATTATTCCTGTCTGTGGAATAATTCTTCAATCTTTTCGTTAAGAATCCATCTTTACTTCCCATCAATACTTCCATTGCCGCAGCTTCCCCTGGTTCGCACCATTTAATTTCAGGAACTTCAGCTCCTTTCCTAGCCACGCAAATTTACAATTTTAGCATTGCAGTCCCAAATAATCCAGAGTCAACTTTACCAGTTAGGCTAAATTCTGACCTCAACACATCAGCAATGAGGCTGTCCCAATCAATTGTCTGATTTGTCGCACCCCACTTTCTAAGTGGTGGTTGCAGTGTAGGAAAATCAGTGAGGTACTCAGAGAGCAGTTTATTAATTTTACCTCTTATTGTCCTAGCAGCATGCTCCAACTTCTCTGATGCAACCCAAATAGGCACCACATTGTGTGCATCAACCTCATGTATGGTCACTGAATCACTCACCCTCTTGCACAGCTCATCTTTGCATCTCCGAATCTGACGCAAAGGTGAGAAATCCGTAACCAAAAGTGAAGCCCCACATTCTCTCAGAAAGTTTGCTATATTCTCTTCTGCTTCGCCCTATATATCCAACAAAAAGATGACTAACTGAAAACATAGAAAATCCCAAATCCCAACCCTCAATCTTCCATTAACCAAAGACACAACAAAATAAAACTCTAAATTCTACATTCAAATGAATCAATCAGAACCATGCAGCACATAGATTAACGTACTACTAATGGGTTATCTTAAAAATCAAAACTTTACCTGAAACAAGAAAAAGGGTATTTGAAGGGTCTCTTCAATACTAATTTGGAGTTGACGCAATCCCCTTAACATGAACCCTAATTGGCGCGCTTTGGCCCCCAAGAACTGATCAAAGAGATTGAACGCTACAGCAACAGGGACATTGGCCTTGTTGGCCTGATCAACAGCGTGGATCAAAGCCCAATTGTCTCTCACTCGTTGATCCCTAAACATCCAATAAACCACAGGTCCCACAGCTTGATCCGACCCTCGAAATCCTTCCTTCAAGACCCGAATCCGACCCAGTTGCACCGAGTTCGGTGTGCTTTGCCGGGAAGATAGAGATGCCATGAAGAGAGCGAAGAGGAAAGGAAACGGCGGGCGGTTGCTGAGGTGTGCCAGTGTCGGCGTTGAGGACGACGGGAGCCAAAATTTTGACAAACTGGAGGGAACTGGTACAGCATAACGGTTTAAAGATGGGGTTTTGATTTGTTCTACGTGGATGAGTTGAGAACTGAACACGTGGCAAAAACTTGATCCACATAAAAATCTAAAGTCTTATCCAAAAGAGTCGTAGGTTTCGCCAATGGACATTAAACTGACATCATTACCAGGATGCCGGCCGACTAAAGGGGAAAAACCGACAACGTCAGTTATCCTGTATGAGTTAAAATTACCTCGTCGGCTCGTCCTTTCACTTGGGATGGAGAGTGTTTGATTAACGCCATGAATTAAGAATGTTTATCACTATCCATCAAAATATTAAGATTACATAATATATTATTTTTTTAAATAATAATTTATTTATTAAAAATAATTAATAATTAATATAATAATTATTAATTAATAAATTAAAATAAATTTATAAATTGATATTTAAAAATAAAAAATATATATAAGTTTTTTTTTTTTTTTTTTACGGTTGCTTGCACAACTAGGATTAATTTTCTTCTATTTTTTATCTAACCCTACCAACATGACACGAGAGTTAATTTTTTTTAATATTTTTATTTAATTTTACCTATATTTTATGTGACTTGAATTAAAAATTTTTTATTTTTAGTGAAAATAAATTACCACTGAATCACTTAAGTCATTAATTATATCAATTCTATTTTAAAAAATAATTAGAGTCATAATCTTAAATTATATTATTTTATTTTATTAAAACTCAATTTAAAATTTAAAAAATTATTTTATTAAATATTGATATATTAAAATATATAATGAGTTTTTAAATTTAGATATTAATATTTAGTATGATGAGATTTTAATTGTTAAATATAAGTTAAAATTTTAATTATTTTTAAAAATTAAAACTGATATGCATTAATCTCTATAAAAATATTATAATTTATTATTTAAAAAATTATACTATAAATTAATAAAAAAAAATCAATTAAACTAAATATAATTTAAATGATACTGTGCAGGCATGACTGCACCCCATGAATTGGCGTCGGTATCGGATGGAGCTTGTAAGTCCAACTTAGCTTATCTCTTTGACTTAAATTTTCATTTTTATTGGGTTGTGGAAAATGGACGTATAATTCAACTCCATTATTTCAAAGACAAAGAAAAGATTGAGAAGGAGAGATAATCTATGATGAAGATCAAGAATTAATAATAATAATAAAAAAAAAAGTAAAATAAATGACCAGACCTCCACCTACTACCATTAGGACTCAAAATTGTTTCAATTCAATTTTCCTTGAGTCACGTACCTTATTTCTCCACTTTAATAATTCCTTCATGTCAATACTCTTGATCGATGCCGCTTTTCTTCAACAAAACGAAACTATAATTAGGTACTTAATTAGCTTAACACAGTGCACATATATTACTTATATATACTTTGCTTTTCTGCAGGTTTCTAATTAAAGTTCAATCTTAAATAATTAACAAACTTCTTTTTTTATTCCTTTTAAGCTTTTGGCAGCATAATCCGAACAATCATTTCTTTTCTCTTTATCTATTTCATTTACATAATCTTTTAAACTACGTGAATAAAATATTATCATTGAGCTGCTTTGTTAGTTGACAAGTAATGAATATTGTTGTTTTTAATTTGTTATGTTAAACACTAGATTAACACAGTATATTGGATCTGTTTTCGACTTCGAGTTCATATTTTATCTAGAATTAATTTGCATGTGCATATCATTTTCGTCTTTAAAAAAGTGGGCTCCTCATTGGAGAATTTGACCTTTGTTATATTTATTATAAATAACAAAATATTTAAACTCTTTTTTTTTTCTATTAGTTGTATAACTAGAATCAACCTTTTCTCATTTTTTATTTCATTCTATTCGCATATTACGTGATTTAAAATTAAAATATTTTATTTTTAATATAAAAAAATTATCACTGAATAACTTAAATCGTTAGTCGAAATATTTACCTTCTTAATTACTTAAGCATCATTAAAAACTTTAATTTTTTTTTTCACTAAATGCTGACGGGAGGAAAGTAATCATGAATCAAAAGAACTCAAATTTTAGTGCCCCAATTATCGCATGAATTACCTAAATTAAAATAGTAAGTATGGGTTCATCATTGACATTAAAACCGCAAATTTCAATACTTTCATTATAATTCCCTGAAAGCAGAAGAATCCATTAGAATATTCTTGATCACATCTTTAATTAACTACTTAACATACATCATATTCAAACAAAATAAAATTACTTTTATTAAGTTGTCATTAAATTTTTTTTTTTTACTTACTCCCCGTAATTATGTATGATGTCACGTGTTGTAACAAGCTAAAACACATGAATTGTTCAATTATGTAGTTAATGTGATTGTCTTAATAAAAAGATATGAAATTAAATACTTTTGTCCTAAGCTAACACATGTATACCCCCACCAAATCTCATTTTTGAGATTCTGTACTGTGGATTAATAATTAGCAAAGCATATACTTACTCGAAAGACAATACTGACCTTGTAAAAGGAATACCGACCTTGAAATTAGTAGGACAATTCCGACTACTAATACCCAAATACTAGATCTCTCCCATTCCCATGTTGGGGATTATACTAAAAAAGAAACAAATAATGAAATCAAATCACCATTGAAATTTGACTAATCGAAAAGCAGAAAAGGGGGAGGTAAAATAATTGCTTCTCAATCAAAATTAGTACTACTACTATATTAATTAGGGTTTTGCCCCCACAACACATGCAAGATCCGGCAAAATCAAACCCAACGCTATACTTTTTTTGTTTTTTTAAATACAAAACTCTATCTATTGTCCTCCCTCTCATATCAAAATTTAAAATATAATCATGCGCACAACATATAAAATTAACTAAATTAAATATATTTATATTATATTTTAATAATTAAATCAGATAAACATAAAAAGGTGTGTTAAAATGATAAATATATTAATCATTTTCTTATTTTTTGTATCAGTAATTAATTTTATTTTATTTGAATAGTGATAAGGGTAGCCTAAATAATTAGAACAAGATGAATTAAATATTGTTTTTAGTTTTTTGTTTTAATGATTTTGTGGTACAATTATGTGATTATTATGGACCACAATGAAACAATGTATGGCCAAGGTTAATTACGATTATAATAGTTGATTGGATGAATAAAATCTGAAATAATGATTTGGTTAGTCAGTAGAGAGAGACTAGCTAGCTATGAAAAAAAAAATAAAACTTGAAAGTTAATAAACTAGTTATTAAATTTGGCTAGACGATTAAATACAGTAATATTAGGGGGAAGACATTTATGCCAGCATTGCTAATACAGGGTGCTATGTTAAGGAAACAAGGAAAATACAAGAGCACAAAGTCCAGACCTCCCTGAGACAAAATTTGGTGTTGGTGGTCCATGATGACCATGAGCCACCTTGGTGAAAGCTATACAAATTTAGGCTTTTTGCCAATACATGGTAAGGCCGTTTTCAGAAACGTAATTGATGCCACCCTGGTTAGGTAACATATCTGGATTTTAAAACAGGATCTGTTTTTAGAAAACTAAAAATATATTATGTAATTTAAATTGTGTCAAATTATATTATATAATTTAAATTATTAGATAACAATGAATCTTTTAATAATTAAAAATTATTTTTTTATCTAATAGTTTTTATTTAATGATTTAATACGGTTTAAATTATAAAATAAAAATTAATCATGAGTGAAAATGTGAATAATTAGGGAAAAAAAAGAAAGGGAAAATAAAGTTATAGCATGATGATGTGATAAGGAACATTGGAAGGGGCAAAGATTCTTGTTGTATAAAGAGAGTGTCGTCCTATACTAATCATTATACTTTCTTTCCCTTTAACTCCATCAAGATAAAGAGAAGGAGAATTGAGTGGATGAAACGTAGCATACGAAAGAGGGATAGTTGGATGGATTAGTTTGGTGAGCAGTCAGCATTAGGTCGTCTTGCCGACAAGAAACCCTGTCTCTCCACTAAAATGAGTAATTAGGAGAGCCCCATTGCCATTGCATACAATAATGCAATTTCTCTCTACTTTTCTACTCAAAAGGTGGAACACACTTGATTTTTCTCTTTTTCACTATTGTGGAGGTGGGTGGAGTGAATCCAATTCTATCGACATGGCAGAAATATCAAGCACATAAGTTTCTTGAAAGATCCTTAAGGGAGAGATGCACAATACACTGATGGCTTTCCATAATTGGGAGAAAGTAAAATGTTTGATGGCAAGCCCTTGTCAATGTCTCCTTGCATACAAATACGATAGGTAGCACACTCTTTGTTATTTAGATTCTTTCTTTTTCACCTGCTTTCCCTCTTTCTTACTCAAAATTGTGTAACTCATCCTCTACTTTATGGAAATCATGCCTGAATTGGTGGGCAGAATACTATTAAAAATCATGGGGAAAGAAAAAAGAAGGGCATAGCTTGTGTAAGTAGAAATGACAAAGAAAAACTAGCTTGTTATTAACAGCATGTGGGCACGAAACAAGCCGGAGTTATTTCCTCTTTCTTTTTTGGTTCCTACAGCCATGAATAACAAATGTATATGCAGTTGTTTACATTCTGAAACATACACAATGAAATGAAATACCAACTCGTCAGTGGCCATCACAAGTTTATCATGAGAGAATTATGTAGATGATGTGGAAGAATCAACCACAAAGATCCCCACTTGCTGTTAAAATATGGTTTCCAAGTAGCAAAGCCATGGGGGAAATGATAACGTCTGTTTGAATTCGCTGCGTAATCACTTTCAACCATCTTATTTGCTGCTTCATGACGGCAGTGGATCTTCCTTAGCTTTTGATCCTATTAGGACCTTCCTTACAATCATGGGATTGCATTGACCAATTACTTTGCATGAACATCACAAGCTTTGGGATGTTTAATCGAGAAGTTACTGCAAAATATGATTTGATAGAGAAAATACCCTCAATTTCTCTCCTTGGCAGCCAAAGCTTAGAATAGGACTTCCACTTCTTCCGTGGTGGGCCTCCACTCTCTTAAACACAAAAACGATAGAACGAGGTTCTAGTGCCTCTCCATCCAGGAACCTTTGATCTCAGGTCCTTCTGATGTTGACCCATGTACCGAAACATCACTTGCCATACACCCGGCGGGCTTGAACAAGTCTGGACTATTGCAAAAAGATCTCGACGCCAAAAAATTCAAAGTCCTTGGCTCGTTAGGCCAATGGTAATCATATTCCAAGAATGCCAACCCTTGACAATTTTATGGGGGTGTCTCCAGTCTAACAATAGCTTTGTCGTACGTTTCTGCCATCAGAAAGAGAGTCGTTTAACTAATAGAAATAAACAGTAATTTGTGTCATCAACATGCAAAACCCAAAATTTCAGCCAACAGTTGCATCACTGTAAGGTTCACAACCAAAAAGGGTACTTAGCAACAAAATCAAACATTAAACATCTTAATTAACAGGAACTGATCAGCATCATAACTAATAAAAAGAGTGTCTGAAAAACATAAAAAATAAAAAAAGTATAAATGGAAAGGAAAGAAACTTTATCTTGTTTTAGCATCTACCTAGCTAGTGCCTATCAACACAGCATGGTCCAGGCAATTACCTGTTTTGGTTGTGGGAACCGAAACTACCCTTGAGAGTCACTGCATTCCAACTTCAGTTTGCAGAAAGAACCTCTATGAAGGACCACCAAAACATCCAAATTCATGTATAGCATACACAACATAGTCAAAGCATTTCAGGCAAAACTTCCTCAAATCATTTTCCCATAATTCAAACAGTACACTATCCAAGATGGACATAGAAATAGTACAAAATCATATTCTTGTCTGCGTTGCTGCATGAGCTGAGGACTGAGATGGCAAATAATCTTTGAAACAAAAAAAAAAAAACCAGCTGTGCACCATGGCAATTCAAAAGTTCAGCTGGACTTTGTAATGGAACAAGTGAAAACCATGACAAACTTTTCCAGACCAAAAGGGTAATTGTCTTTCTCAGATTCCTCAGAATGGAAAAAATAGCATATTAAGCCTTAAAGTAATAATATAAATGGACTAGTCTATATCAATTAAGAAATTTGATCTATGCCAGTACACACACAAAAACAAAAATTCATAACTTATATATAACATGAACCAAGAGGTAGGATCAGGATAGAGCTGGAATACAAGAAAAATTTATTAAAAGAGTTACTGACACAAGAAAGGAGTTAATAGGGAGGAATGCTTCAGGTTAATTCATTTGCTAATTTGTAAAATTCTACAATGTTCATCCTCCTCTCTAACTTCTATTCATGCAGCATTTTCTATCTTATACAATACAGGAAGATATTTTTTCTGCAAACCAAGAGGTCCAAAATAAAGCTCGAAGCGGTAGAAACACAACATAAAATCCCAATCAATGCCCTATTTCTGTCCCAATATCTTCTAATGAGTAAAAGCTTGGTACAAAATGGGGGAAGAGAAATAATAAAAAGAATTCAATAAATCCTACAATTTTTAAATTTCTAAACAAGTAACAAAAATTAGAAAAGAAAATGTTACACTGAAGATGTTTCAACAAGAACCTCATTTAGCACATCGTCCTCACCGTTTGCCAATGCAAACAGTTCTGCATCCTTCTCTTCATCACTGGAGAACTCCCGCCTCTCCAGCTTGGAATGAGCTGCAATGAATATCAACTTTTGAGCCCTGTCCATGCCTACCCTCGAGTGCCCATGGGTACCCACCCATCTCAACAAAGACCAATTGCATTTGAATCCACAGGAAGTTGCGTGGAGGAAAATAAGCCTAACTGCAACTTTCCCTAAGGACTTAAACTCAGAAAGATAAGTTTCCCACACAAGCCTGCTGCTCTGGGGATTGGCAATTCTCATCTTTCCAGTGATTGGATCTCTCTCCCTCATCTGCACAGCTCGTGCATAAACTGGATCAAGCCCTTCTGTCCTCCATTTCATGAGTTCCATTAGTGCAATATGAGCCTCCTCCCTGGACACAAGCCTGGTTATGAGCTTGTCAACATCCTTTTCTTGCTCGGGTGTCAAGCATTTGAATGGTGGAAGGTACTTCCCACTAGCGTCCCTAATCAAATAGATGGGATCAAGTATGAAAGCAGTAGCCCAAGCTGGGTGGTAATTCTTCTTGAACCGCCTTTCGATCACCTTCTCCACGGGACCTTCTGCAACATTAAATTTTGAGCACCAATCTCTAACTTTGGCCTTAAGCTCATCCCAAAGAGGCAGACACTGCCCAACTAATGGCCTTTCTGTCTCAATCTCTTCAGCCATATCCTTGATCAGTTTAACTAACGAACGCACCGCCTCTAATTCGTTCCAGAACCCCAAATCTCGAGTTATATCTAAAACCTCCCTCGCAGCTGGATCCTCCAAAGAAACCACCTTATACGTCTCCTCAAACACCAGCTGAAGTGCCCGAGCCGATTGCAATAAATCATCCATCATTGCATAGAGAGTATCCCAGTTCCAGCTTTCGTGACCATGAAGGGGCACGTGAAATAATCCTGCACTCCCACCCTCCTGCAACAGATACTTATTGAAGCTGTTTCGAATTTGAGTAGTGTTATTCACGAAATTGGCAAGCTTCAAGGAATTTTCAGTCACAGTCTTGAACAAAGCAAGGTCCTTGCTGAAGTCCTTGATCAAACTACTAAACCCCTGAAATTGACAAGAAAGATTAACCATCCAATGATGCTGATTCTCCAAATTCCTCAATGCCTTGGCACTAAACTTATCAGCAACGATCCCTACACATTGCTGTACGGCATTCCCACAAATGCCCGTTATGGTCTCCCAGAATTCCTCCTCCGCGTAGTTAGAAGGAACGGAGCCACTGAGGAACACAGCCCTCCTATACAAACTAGTCCCATTAGGCAAATTCGCTGTCAAATTTACTAAATTCTGCTCGCCAGTACCGGAGCTCTTGATCCTCCACCCATCAGATGCAATCTGAAAGAACATGGCGTCCCTAATCCTCGCCTCCGATTCAGCCTTCACTTCCTCATACTTGACATCTAATCTACTCCCGGTGAACTCCTTCCTCGAAACTGGCGGCAATCCGACTTGATTAAGGAAAGCTCGAAACTTTGGGTGCTCGAGACTCGAAAATGAAACCGACCCACAAGACTCATAGACCCAATCAGCGAGAAAATCAAAAGCGCACTCAATCTGCATCTTGTTCAATGTTGGCCCAGGTGAAGTTTTGGGGCTTTTTAGCTTCTTTACACTATCCTCCAACATTGCCAAAGCCCCTAAATCCTCCTTCCCTCCAGACAGCACCAAATGATGATGATGATGCTGCGGCGCAAAACTCCCTGCACTCCCCGTTACCACTGTAGTCGCCCCCGGCGGGTAAGATAATTCAGCGCAAAATCTGGAAGGATCAACAATAGTGAGAGGCGCGACCTGATATGAGCCCCCCGAAACAGAGGCCGAACCAGAAAGACCACCGCCGGAAGCACTGACAGTAACAGCAGAAGAGCTCCGTTTACGGTTACTAGGACTTGGTGCTATTGATTGTGGAGGAGGTGATGGAGACACAGAAGAAATGGGTTGGGCAAGAGAATTGAAGTTGGGGCATGTGCCGCGCTTCAGGTGCTCGGAAGCTGTGCGTGACGGGTTGGAGGCGGAGAAAACCGCGTCGCAAAGTGAACACCGGAGCTTGACAGCTTTGGGGAGGCCCGTGTCAGTGTTGTGGACTAACAAGGGCTCAAGGTGGGTCCAATACCAGGCTCCCTTCCCCTTTATGGCCTTGTTCCGAACCATAACCAGGCCCTCGTACCGCTTATGCACGGCCTTGGCTGTGAGCTCGTCGGCCGAGACAGAGTCAGCTGCCGCCGCCGCCGCCGCCGCAGCGGTGTTGGACATTGCAGGGACCTCAACGAAAAAGAAAAGAAATACAACGCGGAATGTTTTTGAAAAATTTTGGAAGTTTCCTCACAGACTTCACTGCAAGATTCTGCTTCTTCTCTTCGATGTTGTCAGCATCATCACAAGACAGTTAAAGTGTACCACTACTTTCCCATCTCCCTTACATTCACCCGGGAAAATCCCCCCGGCGGTGGCCGGATCTTGATTTCCCGGCAAGTTTCCATGCAGAGTGGTCTCAGTAATGGGAGTCTTTTAGAGAAAGAGAAAATTCAGAGTGGGGAAAAATAGGTAGAGAAACCACCCCTAAAAAAAAGGTTAAACCCTTAATTTGGTCTTTGACTATTATACACCCCCAATTTGGCTTTTAAACTAAAAAAATCTCTAATTTGATCCTTGAGCTATCGTACAAATCCAATCTAGTCCCTATTATTTACCAATTTACCCCAAATTGGTCATTATATACAAAAAAATAATTGACGTATTTGTTACTTAATGACAAAAAATAATAATTTAATGATAAAAAATAATAATTTAACGGTCACGTGTCATATTAATAACAAAATATATCAGTTGATTTTTGTACAAAATGATTAATTTTGAGTAAATTGGTAAACAGTAAGACCATATTTGAGGTTGTACAATAATTTAAGGACCAAATTAAAATTTTTTTTAATTTAGGAATCATATCATAGGTACATACAATAAATGGGAGATTTAACCAAAACAAAATTGTGAAGTGAAATTGGGGTGTCTGAGTCTGAGAGAGAG